CATGTGGTTCCCGCGTTAGCGCCGCGCCACATTCGTTTTGAACATGTGCACGAGTCCCACGGATTGAGGGCGATTCCTTTCCAACATGTGGTTCCCGCCTTAGCGCCGCGCACATTCGTTCATAACATTTGAAAGAGGCCCACCGATTCCGAGGATCAACGTACCAGAAATGGTGCTTTTGAGGGATTCAGGATTATGCGGGTGCAACTGTTATATTGATTCGCGGTGTTGAAAGCCCGGAAATGGTGTTCTGGCACGGTTCCAGATCGTCAAGACGCCGCAGTCAGGCTGAATTCCCGAAGAACATGTTTTTCATGATTCAGGGTGTTCAAGGGTGTCTTCCAACGAGGCAGTTCCTTCTATGAAGAGGGAGCTTGGAGGGAGGGTGAATTCCAACATCGTTGATGACTCTTTAGTTTACACTGGTCCTCCTCCTCCTCCTCCTCCTCCTCCTCCTCCTCCTCCTGTTCCCTCCTCCCCCGACGGGGGTCAACCTCGCGTCGTCGTCGCGCCGCGACGGGGGTTCCTTACTACAGTGGGGGCCCATGCCAAGAAACACCGTGCTTGCCTCCAGGGTGCCCTGGGATTCTGGCGTGCCGATGGTTTTGCGGTGGAATGCGTGATGGGTCCCACACCAAAAATCGATGGACGTCCTGGGGCCTCATGGTTGGCTTTCTTGTGGAAGTTTTCTTGTGGACGCACCTCCACTGTAAGCGTGGGGGCGTACCCCCCTGATGGGGGTCAGCCTCACCTCGTCGTCGCGCTGCGACGGGGGTCGGGGCGCCTTCGGCGCGCGTTGGCTGCCCGCGGCGGGGGTCGATGTGGGACTGTCGGTGGGGGTGACGCCCCCCCGACGCTTATGAAGGAACTCTGTAGGGTTTGGAACTCGTCGAACACGCGGCGAGGTCCGAACCCTACGGCAGGTTCGCGCCGCGTTGGCACGGCGGCGGCGCCAGCTCAGGCGTGGCCCAGAATCCCCGTCGATGTCGAGCCATCTGCGCTACGTATCGGGAAGCCGCGATCCTTCGACGTGGAGCGATTCACGGGGTGTTAGAGACCAACGCCGATGTCCTTGCCGCGCGAGCCTGCCGTACTTCCGCCTCCCATCGATTCAGGAGAATTGGGGGTGGTGGGGGTGGGGGTCGGATGCCGGCTGCTGGAAGTAAGCTGACGACGACAACGACGCCGACAACGCCCACGCCCACGCCCACGCCCACGCCGACACCCATGCCGACGCCGGACCGGCGCCCACGCCCACGCCCACGCCCACGCCCACACCCGCGCCGACGCCCACGCCGACGCCGACGCCGACGACGACGCCGACGACGACAGCGACGGCGACGACGGCGACGACGGCGACGCCGGCGACGACGGCGACGACGACGGCGACGACGGCGACGACGACGACGACGGAACCGCGCCCGACCGTGGCTACGTGAGGCCCCGCGCGCGGGGCTTCAGAGAGGCAGGAAGCAGCAAGATCCCCCTACCCCTCCGGCTTCACTCCTCCTCCTCCTCCTCCTCCTCCTCCTCCTTTCTCCTCCCCCCCTCCTCCTCCTCCTCCTCCTCCTCCTCCTCCTCCTGCTCCTCTTCCTCCTCCTGTCTCCCCACCGAGGCAGGCGCACGGGGCATTGGGGAGACCAAGCGCCCAGCGTCCTGCTGCTGCTGCTGCTGTGGCTCCTCCTCCTCCTCCTCCTCCTCCTCCTCCTCCTCCCTCCTCCTCTCCTCCTTCCTCCTCTCCAGGGTACGTTAACTCCTCCTCCTCCTCCTCCTCCTCCTGCTCCTCCTCCTCCTCATCCGCCTCTTGCTCCTCCTGCTCCTCCTGCTCCTCCTCATTCTCCTCCTCCTCCGCCTCCTCCTGCTCATCCTGCTGCTCCAGCGCCACCTCCTCCCCCAACGTGTGCGCAGCTCCCCTCTTCTCAGGTTCAGACTGCGCGCAAGACGGGGCCCTCCTGGGGGGCAAAGTGAGGAGTGGATGGTGTAGGATGACAGTCAGGATGGGAAAAAAAGCATACACAGACACAGTTAACCGTCGATCACAAAGAAAATGTAGGAACAGATGGGAAGTGTGGGGGAAGACGAAAAACCAGAAAATATGAGAAAATGTTGGGTATCCTGAGATTTGTGTTTATTTATTTGTGTGTCCCAGGGCCCCTTTAGACAGATATGGCGCGAGCGCACCTAGCTTGAGGCGCCCCTTCTGCCCTCTTCCCCCAGCCCCCCCCCGGACGGCGACCCATCCCAGCGTGGTGCCGCCGAGCGGCGGGGGGCGTCCGCCCCATCGTTCTGCCAGTCGCGCGCGCGGTCGCGCGCGCGCGCGATCAGCAAGTAGCAGGCGCCCCCCCACCCTCTAAAAAGCCTTCCCGGAGGCTTCCAGGCCCTTCTAAAACCCTCATCTTCAGCGTTTCTCCTCAATCAGTTTAAGATGGAGGAGGGCAGGCGTTGGCAAGACGAGATGTCGGTGGAGGAGGAGGAGGAGGAGCAGGAGGAGGTGGTGCTGCGGTCGCATCTCTTCTCCACCGTTGGTCATGAGAAGGAAGGGTGAAGGAAGGAACGAGCAGGGAGGATGGAAGATGACCGAAAGCGCCCTACCCCAATGCAGCCTGGCGCCCATACCCCCCCCCCGAATCCCATCCTAATCCGGGGTCGTCAGGGGGGGTCGGCCAAGCACTGCCATCCCAGTCTCCAGCATCCGTTGACAGACCTGTGGTGCTGGATTCTTCTGGCCCTGCTGCGGACCTTCTTGCGGCCATCTTGGGCCGTCCTGGAGGTGGCTTGAGCCATCTACTGGTGGCCTCGGTTGCCTGCATCGGTCGTCTTGGAAACTCGGGAGCGCGGACCCACAAACTGTTACCAAGGGATCGTTGCCTCGGGAGCGCGGACCCGTACACCAATGCTCAAGACGTTGACATCAGGACCGTTTTGGTCTCGGGAGGGGCTCGGGTTTTCCGGCCGTCCCTTGGCATCCTGGAGTGGGACACACTTGTGGCCCAGGCCCGTCGTGGCCGGAACAAATCCTTTGTTCTCGATGATGCGTTCCTCATGGTGGCACGATGGCTGACTGTGTGTATATACACCTATACCATTCCAACGCTCATGTACTTACACCAAGACATCCATCTGTATTATTTACAAGGTCAGTGTAACCATGTTTATATGCTCAGTTATGTATGTATGTATGTATGTATGTATGCATGTTTGTATGTATGCATGTATGCATGCATACATGTGTGTATGTATGTATGCATGTAGGTATGTAGATAGGTAGGTGGGTGGGAAGGTCGGTAGGTAGGTAGGTAGGTAGGTAGGTAGGTAGGTAGGTAGGTAGGTAGGTAAGTGTGTATGTATGTGTGTATGTATGTATGTGTATATATATATATATATGCATGCATGCGTTCATGCATGCATGCATGCATGTATGTATGTATGTATGCATGTATGTACGTATGCATGTACGTGTGCATGTATGTGTGTATTTATATGTGTATGCATGTATGTATGTATGTATGTATGTATGCATGCATGTATGTATGTATGTGTGTTTATGTCTGTGTATGTGTGTATGTGTGTATGTATGTACGTATGTATATATGTATGTATGTATGGATGGTTGTATGTATGTATGTATGTATGTATGTATGTACGTACGTACGTACGTACGTACGTATGTATGTATGTATGTATGTATGTATGTGCATGCATGCATGCATGCATGTATGTATGTATGTAAGTATATGCATGCATGCATGCATGTATGTATGTATGTAAGTATATATGTATGTATGTATGTATGTATGTATGTATGTATGTATGTATATATGTATGTATGCATGCATGCATGCATGCATGCATGTATGCAAATATGTATGTATGTATGTATGTATGTATGTATGGATGGATGGATGGATGGATGGATGTATGTATGTATGTAATGTATGTAATGTATGTAATGGGTGTATGTATGTATGTATGTATGTATGTATGTATGTATGTATGTGTGCATGTATGCATGTATGTGTGTATGCATGTATGTATGTATGTATGTATGTATGTATGTATGTATGTATGTATGTATGTATGCATTATGTGTGTATGCATGCAGTTCTGCAGGTAGGTAGGTAGATAGTTCTGTGTATATCCATGTATGAATGCATGTATGTATGTATGGATGGATGCATGTATGTATATACACGTAGAATACAACGTATCGTGTCCTCGGGAGCGCAGGCCCATAGTTTGTTTTACGAGGGATCGTCGTGGCAGTGGGAAGGAGGGCGATGCACGCGGAACTCTGCTTCGAGAGGGGGGTATGTGTTTTAGAAGCGTTCATAACCCAACCAGACAGCACGTGTCAGGGGGCAAGTGGCGGATGTATGAGGATTTTGGTGATGGTGGTGGAGATGGTGATGGTGGCGGTGTTGATGATGGTGGCGATGATGCTGCATATTATGAGTGGTGTTGATTATAATTGTGATGAGGATGAGGATGATGGTAATGGTGATGGTGATGGTGATTATGTTGCTGACGCTGCTGCGGATGATGAGGAGGACGACGCGGCCAACAGAAGGGGGTGCGCAAGAAGGAGATCCCACACCACACTGTTATTCTCATCCGAAGGTACTCCCCGCTTCCTTCCTCATCCCTTTTCTCCCCGTTCCCTCCTCATCCCTCCACCTTCCCTCCCTCCTCTCTCACCTCTGCTCGCTCCTCATGTTCCTCCTCCTCCTCCTCCTCCTCAGGAATGGTGTTCTGTCACAGTTCAGGATTCTCAAACGTTTGTCTTCCAACGGGGCATTTCCCCCAGTGAGGATAAACCTTTGCAGGGGCCCATGCAGGGGCCCATGAAGAGGGAGCTTGGAGGAGGTATTGTTGCATACCGTTGGTGAGACTTTGGTTTACACTGGTCCTCCTCGTCCTCCTCGTCCTCCTCCTCCTCCTCCTCCTCCTCCTCCTTCTCTCCCCTCGCTCCTCTCTCCCGCGTGCGCGGGACGCGTCGGGAGGAAATCCCAGAAGGTCGCCAAGAAGAACGTAGTTTCTGGACCGCCGCTGCTCCTGCCGTGGCCGCCCAGACGTTGATTGTCGCTGTTGTCGACGTCGTCGTCGTTTTCGTAGCGGCCCTCTTTCTCGTCTTCATCGTCGGCGTCGGCTTGAGTAGGAGGAGGGATGTGTGGAGTAAGACACATGAGGGCAGATGCTGCTGATGATGAAGATGATGCTGATGCTGGGGATGATCACGATGATGCTGATGATGATGGTGTTGGTAATGATGATGAGGAGGAGGAGGACGAGGAGGAGGAGAAGAAGGGCAATATGCTGATGATGCTGATGATGATGATGATGATGATGAGGAGGAGGAGGAGGAGGAGAAGGTGGGGGGAAATACTCAAATCAGGAATCATGGGATTGGCGAGGGGTATGAGAGAGATGGGGATGAAGAGGACAAAAGTAGGATAAGGAGAAGGTTGAGGATAATCATGATGATCAGAGGAGGAGTAGGAGGACGAAGACTTTGCAGAGGCGCGTCTTGTAGGTCCTCTAGTCCCGTTTCCACTCTAAAGAAGCACACGGCACTGAGTTTGCAGATGCCGCTTCCAAAGGGCGCCATGGCTGGATAAACTGCCAACGCGTGACATCGGATGCGCTCCGACCCCCACCCACCCGCTGCCACCCGACCCCACCCACCCGCTGACAGTTGAGGCCCTCGGGTCTGGGCAAGATTTGGGGGGGAACCGATAGCATCCCGCCCAGCGAGTCCATCGCCACGAAGCAGAGGAGCAGGCACGATGAGACGACGGGGGAAGGCGACGGGGGGACCACGAGTGGGGTGGCAGTCTTGTGAGGAGGAGGGGAGGGCCTTGAATCTGGCGGAAGCCCTCCGAGACTCAGAGTTAGAGATCGACAGTTTCGAAACTCAGGCGGTCCCCAGGACAAGAGCACGGTCAAGAGGATCAGTGTCTCTCATGAGTCGGGCATGGGAGACAGACAAGCTCGCGAAGAGGGAGAGAGGAGGCTTGGAGGAAAAGGGATGGACTCAAGCCTACTCCAATCCCTCGAGCTCTGGAGGACTGCGGAGTCCACCGGGTCTGCAAACCTGTAGAGGCAGGGGCACTTGCAGCGGTAGCGAAGGAGGAGGAAGGAGGAGGAGTAGGAGGAGGAGGAGGAGGAGGAGGAGGAGGAGGAGCAGGAGCACATGTGAGGAGGGGTAGGATGGAGATACAGAGCAGGAGTGAGGAGTAGCTGGAGGAGGAGGAGGAGGAGGAGGAGGAGGAGGAGGACGAAGGAGGCCAGGGAAGCAGGAGGAATAGGAGGAGGAGCAGGAGATGGAGGAGGAGGAGGAGGAGGTGGATATGCGGAAGAGGAGGAGGAGGAGGAGGAGGAGGAGGACGAGGAGGAGGAGGAGGAGGACGAGGAGGAGGGGCAGGATGGGGGAGGGGACGCGGACGACGTGGAGGATGCGGAGAGCGCGGGTCGGTGCACGGAGGGCGGCCTCAGGCCGGCTCGCTCACGCGCGCGCGAAGAGGGCGGGGCGCTGCCAGGACTGCCGCCCAAGCGGCCGCCCTTGCTGATTCAGGAGCGCCGCCACAGATGCTCCGGGTGTCGGGGGGCCAGGCGGGGGAGGGAGGGAGGGAGATGAGGAGGAGTAGGAGGAGGAGGACCGGAGTAAACCAGAGATGCGTAAGCGATGCTTCAACACACCCTTCCGTGCCACGTCCCCTCCTCATACGCCCCTACAGGTCTTCCTTCTCGCTGCAAGGGCGCCATCCTTGAAAGACCAGCGCAGTTGGGCCTGCCATTTTGGCGAGCGCCTCGCTTCGAAATGGAATTGCCTTGCATATTGCTGGCGCGTAGTTGGGAACGCGGGCGACAATTGTCATACAGTTCAACGGGGTGTCCAGCGATATCTTCTTTTCGAGGAAGGGCCGCGCCCATGTGTGCATTTGCTGCGCAAGTTTACATGTGGAACGAGAGCCGCCATGGATCCGTGCAGTACGACTCGCGTTGAAGTTTCGGAATTTGAAACTTCGCGAAGCATCAGGCGATGCTTCCAGTGTTAAGAATGTCAGCCCTACGTTATGCTGCACCCTGTGCTTCTCATCTAGAATGCAACAGCACAACACATACAAAACACACGTGCGCGCGGCGCTGAGGCGAGACCACCATTTTGGAAGCGACCCCCTTCCGCCCTGAAAACTGTTGCACTCTTTTGAAACGAATGAGCGCGTCGTTGGGGAACGGCATTTTGAAAATCACCCCCTTTACATCCGTGAAGCTGTTACAGACGTTTACACGAATACGCGCGGCGCTGAGGCGAGAGCCACATTTTGAAAACGAGCCACTTTTCTCAGCGAACCTATTGCAAACTTTCAAGACTAGGCCAGAGGCACATTTTGAAAGCGAACCGTCCTGCATCCGTGAAGCTGCTGCAAACTATGGAGCCACATTTGCGCGGCTCCAAGGCCACAGCGACATTTCGAAAGCCAGCCGCCTTCTAGCGCCACAGCTTGAAATTTGCTCGGCGCTCACACTCATCACGATCACCATCACAATCATCATCACTATCATCATCACCACTATCATCATCATCATCATCATCATCGTCATCATCATCATCATTGACGATACCCCGCACACCGCCATGCCGCCATGGACGTGCTCCGGAGCGCGGGCGCCGCGCACCTGCTAAGCACAGGACTCGCTCGCTGACATCAGGAACATGGACGAGCGCATGGCCCAAGCACCTGACCACCAGCCAGACGACGATGCCGATGCTGAAGTATTACGACACGCTGACCCTGAACTACTGGACGCTGAGCTTCAACAGCAACATCCTCACGAATACAGAAGACCAGCACCGGCAGGATCACACCATGCGGCCCATGAGTTGCCACCGGTGGAACAATTGCACGCTGAACGTGACTTGCCACTTGGACTACTACCCCCACACCCACACTGCGAAGGACTACTGGACGCTGAGCATCAATCCCAACATCATCACGAACATACAGGGCCAGCACATGCAGGATTACGACACGCGGACCCTGAACGACTGGACGCTGAACGTCAAGGTCAACATCTTCACGAACACAGAGGGCCAGTACGTGCGGGACTGGACGCTGAACTACTTCTCCATGAACACAGAGGGCCAGCACATGAAGGAATACGACACGCTGACCCCGAACTACTGGACGCTGGACCACTACCTACACACCCAGCTCGCGAAGGACTACTGGACGCTGAGCGTCAATTCCAACTTTTTCACGGACATTGAGGGCCAGCACATGCAGGAGTACGACACGCTGACCCTGGACGAATGGACGATGAACTTCAATTTCAACGTCTTCACGAACACAGAGGGCCAGTACGTGCAGGACTACACCACGCTGCACCTGAACCGCCACCAGTGGAACAACTGCACGCTGGACTTGAATTGCCACCTGGATTTACAGGTCGACATGAACGTGACCCTGGTGACGAGCGCCCTGATCATCAATTTTCAGTCCGACGACCCACCCACTTCTCTTCAAGGCCCATCGAACTCACCATCATGCTCCTCGCCCTACAGCACCTGATGCTCACTGGTGTTCAAAGGGCAGGAATGGGACATGACACTGCAGATTATCAATACGCGGACCCGCTCGCTGATCGAGTCTATCACCCCAGTCGACGGAAGCTCGAGATCGATCACGACGTCAGCTCCGCCATCATCCAGACTTTCGACATCGGCAAAAAAAGGAAACAACCCCACTGGCAATGTGATTCAGGACATTCATGCGTGCGTGCGTTTATCTCGCTGTTTCGACCATTTATGGCGATTGTATATGAGGATCGGACTCATACAGAATGGAACTCAACACGCACAGAACATCGGTAAGCAGGACACCCTGGCCTCACTGGGCATTCACGGGGCTACGAAGAAGGCCGAACGGAACATCAATATCATGCAGTTAGACATTTACGACGAGCATGGCAAACAGGTAGATGCCATCACGCAGGAGCACGGAAGCTACGAGCACATTATGGACTCCTTCAGGAAGAGCGCCCCCCCCAGAGGACAAGAAATGCCTGCAGGGGATAGGGTCGCCAGCTCCGTCCCGCGCGCTGACGGCCCTAGAAGGACTGTGCAAGTGCGACGTGGGCGGCTCCATGAAGGGTGCCATCGAGGACATCGAGGCGGAGACGGAGATCAGCAAGGAAGATATCCTCGACGCCATCAACTTCGTGCGCCTGGAAAAGTGCTACGACCACGACAAGACGAAGCTGGTGATCGGCGCGCTGGGCGCGCCCATGTGGGAGGGCCAAATCCTGATCAGCCGCGCCCTCGAGGCCGAGGGCCAGGCGGTCCACCACCGAGACGTGGGCCCAGTGGGCTGGCTCGAGGAGGAGGTTAGAGACGCTCGAGCAGTGAACCCGTCTTTTTCTGCCAGAGCGAGCCTGCAGGCCACAATGCAGGCCACAGCGGAGAGGAGGCGTTTCAACGCCGCGTCAATTTCGTTCGAGGCAAAGACCTCCCTGCCAGCAGCGGCACGGTCACGGCCGGCCACATACCCTCCCTCTTCCGTCTTGCCTCCCCCCCCCCCTGCCGTGCCAGCACATCCAGAGGAGCAGTGTGAGGGGGAGGCCCACCTGAGCATGATACAACCGCCGAAGAAGAAGCGGCCGAATATCTCAGCTAGCATTTCGACGCTGCTTGGCACGCGCTGCGCAGGAGGCCCCTCCGAGCAACACCCTGGCAGTCTGGCCCAAGCGGGGCAACACGAGACAGTCGACTCTCTGCGACGGATCACTTTAAATCTGGTTTCATTGTACATCATATCCTGATATCAGATGTTGGTCCTGACGTCGAGGAAAAATCATCATCATCATCATCATCATCATCCCGATCACCAGCCCATCATGGCCATCGGCCGTCATGACCATCGCCACCATGTTCATCATCGCACATCACCATCATCATCCTTGCAGTCGGACCGAGGTACAAGATTGAGTTCGGCTCGGGGAGGGTACCCTAGTGTTCTTCGTGTTTGTTGGATGTTCTGTTGCATCTTGTGGAGGGTACCCTTGGATGGGAGGGTGTTGGCATTGCAGACAGCAGGCGCAATGCTGTCCTCCCACCCCGGCGTCCCAATCAAAAACCAATGCGCCATAGATGCGGAGCGTCCGCGCATGATCCAGATGCCGGTACAAAGTGCAGTTGGTATTGCTGGTGTTTTGGTGCAAAGTGCATTTTGATGTTTTTTGGACAGGGATTGCCGGGGGGACGTCGGCATGGTCCAGGGCTTGTCGCTGGTCGGGTGGGGAGGGTGTGGATATGAGTCAGGAGCAGTGATGGAACCATCCCCGAAGGGAAAGAACGGGGATTGGAGAAACGAAATGCCCAGGCCTCCTCGTAGTTTTTAATCCTTCCTCCTCCTCCTCCTCTTTCTCCTCCCCCTCCCCCTCCCCCTCCTCCTCCGCCGCCTCCTCCTCCGCCTCCTCCTCCTCCTCCCTGCAATCCGACTTTGACGTGAGAAGCGATGTTGGTCGTGATTGACTTTCTGGGCCTCGGCGAGGGGATGCGGTCGATGCTGTCGATGCTTGTCCAGTCCCCCGTGCTCGCTGCATGCCGACGGCTTCGTGCCGATTGATTACTTCCTCCTCGGTGCCCTCCTACTATGCAGTCGGCATCAGGCGTAAAATCCGCAGCATCGATGGCCCCGTGCCGAACATCAGCATCAAGCCGATCTGAGGACGCTGGCGTCGGTCGCTAGTGCTGCTGCTGGAGTCCGCCCGCAGGCTACGTCTGCTGCTTTTCCTCCTCTTTCTCCTCCCCACCGTTTCCTCTGCCGCGTGGCCTGATGGAACCCGACGGACCCCCCAGTGCGTAGAGGCAGAGGAAGTGCAGAGAGCCCCGACAGGGGTAATTCCCTGCATTATCGTCAGCTGCTTATCGGTGAGAATTGCTTCCTGGTGTCGCATGAGAACAAACGCCATGAACCTAAACTTTAGACGCTCCGCGCCGATTTCTTGGATCCGCGCTGGGCCGCCGTATCCAGGAACTCCGCGCGGAGCGCCAAAAGTTTATGTTTATGCTGGGGCGCCAAAAAAGTTGATGGTGCTTTGTTCTGCTTCGATGCTCGTCAGCTGCATATCAGTGAGATTAGCTGCCTGGTTTCAAGGGAGGAAAAACATCCAGCCCGGACAATTGGCGTTTTCTGAACGGCCCTGGTCGTTTACTAAACAGCCCTGCCCTGTTTGATTCCTTCTTTGGGTGCGTTTACTAAACGGCTTCGCGTGTCGGGGTGGTTACTCTCGGGGGGGGATGTTCTGCCCTCTATGGTTGGTAATGGTCTCCTGATCCTCCCACGGCCTCCTCTGCTCTCACCGCCCCCGCTGGCTTCGCGCCGTCCCCCGCGCGTCCGCGCCCCGCCGGGGCCGAGAGGAGTATCCGGACGAGGAGATCCAGCAGGTGGTGGACATGGACACCGGAGAGGAGGATCCGCCGCCTGCCCCACTCGGGCGGGTGGTGCTGGGGGGTGACCCGAATGTCAGGAGGGAAAAGAAACACAGAGACACAGTGAATCGACGATTCCCAGGAAAACATGGGAAAATATAGGAAGTGGGGGGAACACGAAGCTCCAGAAAATATGGGAGACTATGGGGGATCCTGGGCTTGGGCCCCTTCAAAATGGGGGGTGAAGAAAATAGCCCGAAAGGGGCACTTTAGGCCTCCTTTTGGGCCCCTGCTGGCTTCAAAAGGGGCCTTACAAAGGGCCCCTTCAGAGCCCTGTTCTTCACCCCCCAGTTGGGCCACCCCTCGTTGCCACCCGCTCGACCTGCCCGGCCTGTTCTCGGGGCTCAAGAGACAGGGTTCACTGCAAACGGGGGTCAGCCAGAGCGCCGGATCCTGCAGGATCCTGCAGTGTCAGGGGCGCGCTGGCCCGGGGCTTTTCTACAGGATGTTGCAGGATGTTGCAGGATGTTGCAGGATTCTGCAGGATCCTGCAAGGCCCGACTGACCCAGGTCTGGATTGACCTGGGTTAGACCATCCCCGACCTGCCTCATCCACGAACCGAGTCCCGAACCTCGGCGGCGAGCGAGAGGGGAAGTGAGAGGGAGAAGGCCTTCTCAGAAGGCGGCGGAACTCCGCGCCTTCGGGTGATTTTCTGTCCAACCTTTAATGTGTCTTCAGGGAGGGCTTCGACATTTTTTGAAGGCGGGGGTACTCCCGAGCCTTCTGAGAAGACCCGCCCTTTATCATTTTCCCCACCACTCGCCGCCGAGAGCCCCCTTTCATCCCAGACTCCGGTATTTTCATCCCAGGCTCTGGGATTTCGGAAGCACCCTGGTTCGTCCGCGTCTGCCGGTGAGAAGGCTGCGGGTTGCGCACAGGCAGGCCCTCCCAGGTGGTCCTGGCTGGCCTCATCGGGCCCCCAGAGCAGTCCCAGCGGAGCTCAAGAAGCCCCCCGAGTGCAGTGGAGACCCATGCCAAGACACGCCCTGCTTGCCTCCAGGGTGCCCTGGGTTTCTTGTGGGTTTCTTGCGTTTCGATGCTTTTGATGTGGGAAGCGCGACGCTCCCACACGAGAAATCAAGGGACGCCCTGGGGTCTCAGGGTTGGGCTTCTTGTGGAAGGTTTCTTGTGGACTGGTCCCTTACTGTAAGCCCCCCAAGTAGTTCCAGCTGGCCTCAACAGGCCCCCGCGCAGTCAGTCCAGGGTGGTCGCTCGACACCCAGGCGCCGCCTCTGGCGGCGTCCCCCTGGGGCGCTCCGCGCCCGCGTGGAGACTGCCCCGGACTGCTCGGGGGGCCTGTTGAGGCCAGCTGGCACTACATCCGAGGCTGATTAGTTAGTCGACCTTGCCAAATCAAGAACACATTCGTGTCCTGTGTTTCGCGACCCATGCCTTCGACATTCCTATGGCAACATGGCCCTCGGAAGGGTCTTGTGTCCTCTCGCGTGTCCTCTCTGATCAGCCCCCACTGTACCCAGGGGGCGCGTTGAGGCCAGCGGGTGCTACCTTGAGGGGGGGCTGTCCGTGCGCAGCCCGACGCCTTACCAGATGGGTTGAGTCATAGATTCTCCCAGACCCACTCCAAACATAATTTTGAAGCGGTGGCTTAAGGCTTCCCAGATAGGGTCGGAGTAGATGGGGTCGGAGGATCGCGCCGCATCGCCGATGCATCGCCGATGCGGCTCGATGTGGAGCCCGATTGTCTCCACGCCGACGTCGCCGATGCATCGGCGACGTGGTCGGTGCATCGCCGATGCATCGGCGATACATTGGCGAAGCGGCGCGCTCCTCCGACCCCATCTATTCGGACCCCATCTAGGAGTCCTCTAGTGGCGAAGTCGGGATCCGAAGAGCGATTGTTGTCATAGTCGTCGCTCTCCTTCTCGAGGCTCGTGGGCGTCTGGATGCGAGAGGAGGCGGAGGAGGACTCGCAGCAGAGGGGCACGACGAGGAGGGGGGGAATGGTGAAATTGTCAACTTAAATCTCACATTTGCGTTGAGCATCGTTGCCACTGCAGCTCGTGATTGCACATGGTTTGCAGGAGGAGCTTCCGGAGGGGAAGGAGCGCTGCCGATGAAGCCCACTCCCGTCTCGGACGCCGCGTGCGCGCGCCCGCTGCGCGGGTCTGGTGGGTGCCCCGGTGGTTTGTTCGCGCAAGAAGCGGGCTCTTCTTCTTTTTCACTGCATACATTGGAAGCCCATGCCATGAAACACCCTGCTTGCCTCCAGGGTGCCGTGGGTTTCTTCGGACTCGATGCTTCTACGATGCAAACCGTCACGCCCCCATACCGAAAACCAATGGGCATCCTGGGGTCTCAGGGTTGGGTTTCTTGCGGAAGGTTTCTTGTGGTCGAGCTCCTGCCGCATCCCCACTGGTGCCTGACGCTTCCTCGTCGTGCGCTCGGTCTCGTGCTCGCTGGCCGTGGACGCTGTGCCTGCTCGGGAGCGTGGTTGGCCTGGCGGCTCGGCCGCTCCGTGGGGCGAGCGCGCGTGCGGCCCGCGGTGGCCGCCCGAGGCGCTGCCCGGAGGAGCGTCGCGAGCCGAGGGTGCGGAGTCACCGTGCTGCGGGGTGCACAGCGCTGGCGAGCAGGAGGGTCTGCTTGCGAGGGGGTGGGGAGGGCGAGGAGGAAGGCTTCATGGTGAGGAGGGGCATGGGGACCTAGAGCAGGAAGGGTCGACGATGAGGGGCAGGAGGAAGAGGGAGCAGGATAATGATGTGCTGCGACCGTTTGTGTGACATCGTGCTGTGGCCCTGGCGGTCGCTCGGCTGTCTCAGCCCAGGACGCCGCTGCAACTTTGAACTGCATCGCGGTGGTTCTCCCCGAGGGCTACGAGAGAGATTTTATGGAGGCGAGGAGGGCGCAGGATCCAGCATCCCTCGCATTCGGGCGGTTTCCTGTGCCGGTCTCGCAAGCTGGTACCCGTCGCAACGATCAGCTGCAGGCAGTCACTTGCCTCTGGCTTGCGTTTGCTGCAGATGCGTTGGTACGTCAGGTGATCTCCGCCAGCGGCCCGAGGCCAAGCGAGCTTGGACCGGCCAGCAGTAGGAGGGTCCAGGGAAATGGCCATCGCTCCCATACTCTGGCTCCATCTTTTTGTGCCTTCCCCCAGACTGCCCCTCTCTCTGTGTTTTGCCCAGCCCCTCCTCTCTCTACATATGCGTAAGTATGTATATGTATGTGCACGTATATGTCATTCCCCTTTCCTCTTTTCTGTTCGTTACTAGTCTTTTCTCTCTCGCTCTCTCTCTCTCTCTCTCTTTCACACACATCTAAGGCAAGTTCCACTTCCCCACATCGCAACTCTGCGCTCGCGCAACCCTCCACGTCATTTCCTTCCTTTCAGTTCTGCCCAGTCTGGCTTCAGTGGCCTTTCCTGTTTTCTTTGTTTTGCCAGTCTGGGACGCGTCCCGCGGGCGCGAGTGGCGGTGGCCGCGTGTCGCTCCGAGTCGCCGCGAGTGCCGGTCGTGGGCTCGGGTCGTGGGCTGGTCGGGGGCGTGCAGCAGGGGTTCGCAAGCGGGTCGCAGGCGGGCCGCCGGCTGGATTTGCACCAGCTCGCGAAGGCATGCGGGTCACGGGCGGGATGACGACGACAGCGACGACACCAATCCGCATCGCGAGGCAACCCCTTTTGCCGCGGACGCGGGGGGCGGTGGGTCTTATAGTACGATGATGATTCTCTGTTGGTTTCACATTTTTCTGGCTTGGAGCCAGTGAATGTTATGTACTTGTTTACGGGTCAGGTCAAGAATAGGGCTGGACTATTGACCAGTACTCTCGATTCGATCTTAGCGAAGGTGAGGCATTCCCGATGCAACCACCTTGCATTCGTCCAGTAGTGAATGATGCTCGACGCATGGTGTGTGCGAGGGAGGTGGCCAAGGAGGAAGACGAAAGCGAGTGTGCCCTGGCCAGGGAGGAGGTGGCGGATGAGAACGGATGGGGGAAGGCACGCGCGGGAGTCGGGGTCGCAAAATGAGGAGTAGAAAGCCGGAGGAGGTGTTCAATACCGACGCACAGCAGAACAAGGCCGAGGCAAGCAGTAATGTTCGTGGGGTGCTCACGGAGTACCTCGTGCTTGCTTCGGCCCAGCGTTGTTTCCGTAGCACGGCGCGCCAGCATCGGAGCATCGGATCGCCCCTCGGATTTCTCGCATGCCAGCGCAACGATTGGCTCGGAACTTTCCAGGCGGTTGCCTTGGTTTCTTTGTCTAGTTTTCTTGATGGGCCTGTTTTCTACCACCACCATCAGTTGGATATGGGGGAAGGAGGAGGACGAGGACGAGGAGGAGGAGGACGAAGAGAAGGAGGAGGACCCCCTCCCCCTCCAACTTATGGTGGTGGTGGAAAACAGGTCCATCATTTCTCCATAAGAGCCCCTTGTTGTCGGGGCACGGAGGAGTGGATCTTGTGAGCGTTCCTCCTTCCGTGCCCGAAATTCGACGTGGCGAAGAGAGCAAGCACAGCGCGGGAAGGTTCACGACCGTACCTCTCGGCTCGATCTTTCTGCAGCGGCGCTCGAGCTGGTTTGATCCGTGGGCGTCCATGAGCCAGAAATGGGGCAAATACGCCCGTCGTGCTCTTTCTTAATGGCGCTTCGCTAGAAGCTTCGAATGGAAGTAAGAGAGGACCACATAATATTCTTGCTGGTGGGACGGGGAGCACTAGACCGCCCGGTCTGACAGCCGTTTCGCGTAAGAACTCCCCACAATTCACTTAGGTGCTGTGCCTCTCGCCTCAATGCTGGCCACATGTTTGGTTCAGACGGTCACGTGTTTGGAAAATCCCACACGGGTGCACATCGGACGGGGCTAGAACCAGGGTAAACCTGTTCAGGGCGTTCCGGAACGCTCTCAGGGCTTTCAGGAACGCGCTGAGAGGGCCGCGGCGCCCGAGACATCCGCCAGAGCCGCCGGATCTCAGAGACCTTCGATTTGTCCCCACCCGATGTTGTCCTCGTCTTGGCTTCGTCTCAGCACACGGCTGTGCCCTCGCCAGGATGCTGGCCACACTTTTGGTGCGGACGGCACGGCTCCTTGAGGGCTCCTTGAGGGCTCCCTGAGGGCAGGGCTCCTGAAGGGCTCCTTAATCGGCTGTGGATAGACCTCCTACCCTGACACGATTCAGCAATTGGCCGTTGTCGGTTCGCGAGAGGGCGTCGCGGCCGTCATTTTTGCGGGTCCAGGACCGTCGGCTTCGGCCCCTGGCCGTTTTCACTAAGGGGAGGTTTGCTAAAGGGAGGTTTGTCCATCGCCGACGTAAAGGCTCCTCGAGATCCCTTCCAGCGGAGACGCTCGGGTGCGCGTGGCCATGTGCCCGCCCCTGTTCCGCCACGTCTTCACCGGCCGGCCTCGTGCTCTCCTCGACCCGCGGCCCGCCTC